CCTGGCCCCGCCCCCTTGCCACCCTCTGGCCTCTCCTGGCCCCGCCCCCTTGCCTCCCTCTGGCCTCTCCTGGCTCCTCCCCCTTGCCACCTTCTGGCCTCTTGGCCCCTCCCCCTTGCCTCCCTCTGGCCTCTCCTGGCCCCTCCCCCTTGCCTCCCGGTTTGTTGGTGTCTAAATGTTTGCAGAGCCTTGCGTGTCCAGTGTCCGGACTGTCTCCGTGTCACAGGTGGGAGGACAAGGGATAGCCCCCTAAGGAGCAGGATGAGGCCACACGCTCTTACCATGGCCCCCGGGGAGGCAGAGAATGGCCCTCCGCAGAGTCAGGCAGTGCGTGGGGCGTGGAGCCTGGCCCGCGCTGGCTGCTGGGCGGCCCCCTGCTTCTCCTCCACCTTCACCTTGGAGGTGAGTCGCCACGCACGGTCTTCCGCCGGCCGGTCTATAATAAGACTCATCAGCTCAGGGGCTCCTGCGGCAGCAGCTGCTGGTGCAGAAGACAGGGACACAGAGGAGAGGGTGAGGTGCCTGGGCAGGAGAGCTGGCAGAGGCCAGGGGCGCAGCCAGCGAGTTCTAGAGGGGGCGCGACGACCTGTCTGGCTCCAAGCCAATGACTCATAGGGGGGACACAGCCCCCCTCCTTCTCCCTGATATGACCAAGGCCCCTTTGATGGAGACCTCGGTCTCCATGCTCCCAGCCCCCTGGCAGGGGGACTGTCGTGGTTGTCCCTGCGCTGGCAAGCTGAGGAAGGGGTGGGGTAGGGAGCAACAGCCAGCCCCCCAGCACTCCCAAAGGGCACAGTCCTCCCAGCCCCCCTCCTGCTCCCAAAGGGCACATTCCTCTCTGCCCACTGGTTCCTCTCGACCCACTAGCTCCCAAAGGGCGCGTTCCCTTGCAGCCCCCCTCCTGCTCCCAAAGGGCACGCTCCGTCAGCCCACTGGCTCCCAAAGGGCACGCTCCGCTCAGCCCACTGCTCCTGGCTGACCCTGAGTGTCCGAACCTCCTGCCAGGTTGTCCCTGGGTGATGCCCAGTTGCAGCCTCCCCTCTCCCCCTCCCACAGCCTGTTTAATTCTGGGAGCCGGAGCAAGTGGCAGAGTTAGCAGCTGAGGAGGTGGAGGTTGCCGCTGCACTTAGCTCTGAAATCTCAGCCGGGGAAGCAGGTTTCCCCCAGCATCCAGGGTCCTGCTGCAGCTCTTGGTGTCTTCTGGCTCCCCGCCCTACCCCCCCACCCCCACCCAGGCTGCTGTGGCAGCAGGTGACAGACCCCCGGAACACAGCAGCCCGAGTGTCCTGGGGCCTCTGACTGTGCTCTTGCAGTGCCTTTCCTCACCCTCTGCCTGCACTTGGGAGGGGCCCAGGCCAGAAAGGCCCCACAGGGGCTGGCAGGGGCTGGCAGCGCCTGGCTGGGGCTGGTTGGGTGGGTCGCAGCAGCAGGGCACAGATGGGGCTGTGGGGAGCCGCCCCGTCCCCAGCTGCCTTTGGAGGGTCTGTCCCTGGGCTGAGAGTGGGAGAGACGCTGAGAGCAGCTGGAGTCACCCTGCAGCTGCTCTCCCAGGCCAGGCCCCGCAGGCTCCTGACTCACACAGGTCACGGAGGGCGCCGTCCGGACACTCCCTGGCTGCCTGACCCTGTGAACTCTGAGCCTGAATTTTCTTATCATCGCAGAGGTGCTGGCTGTAACCGTTATGGGTGGGATATCTGAGGATCAGCCTAAGGGAGGAGAGGTGACAGCTGCTGTATCAAGCACCGCCTTAGAGGGTCATTCAGGAGCGAGCCCTAGACCGAGCCCAGGTAGATGCAGGACACGCCAGCCCCTTCCTCTGGCGGGGGGTGGGGGGCGTGTCTGCCCTTCAGCAGTCCAGGGATCTGGGCTCTGGGGGTCCTCCCGCCGCTCGCACGCTGGTCCCTGTCCCCCGCTGTCTGTGCTCAGCCTGCACAGGCCTGTAGTGCGACGTGTTATTCCCTGCCGACGCGCTCACACACACCATGCAGAGACCGCCTCACACGCCAGGCGCCCCATGCATGCGCCTCCAGCCCTGACCCTCAGGACATCTCACTCCGGAAGAACCCTCAGTCCAGCGCACCCACGCAGATGACACAGGTCAGCAGCCACCCCAGGCGCCATGCCGTGCCGCCCGAGTTTACACGGGAGGTCAGCATGGGCTCGCGGGCACTGTCACCCCTCAGAGCCCTGTAGGAGACACCTATGTGTGCACAGACAGGTGCAGACCTGTGCTTGGAGCTCCCCACACTGCACGTGGTGCAAACACACCCACAGAGAGCCATGCAGTGAGGCTCGTGCTAACACACATACGTGCTCACACACACGCCCGCTGGCAGCCCTCCAGCTCCCTCGCTCGGATGCCAGCACTCAGGATGCCAGGCAGCCCCCGTGTGCTCCAGCACAAGTGTGCGGGGACGCAGCCAGCCCAGAAGTCAGGGCTAGGAAAACCCTCGGGGGTCCCTAAGCCGGGACACTTTCTGGACAGAGCCACAGGGCTGGAGACCCAACCCCTGCTCCCACTTCTCCTGGCTTCCTGTCTGGAAGCAGGAGGGCGAGTCCCACTCACTGAGCCCTCTTCCCACCTGAGGCCCCTGCCCGTTCCAGCGTCTCCTCTTTCCCACCCCATCCTTCCGGGCCCAGTGTCACCCTCATAATGAAGCCAGCGGGTGACCATCAAGCCCCAATTTGTGCAGCTGTGGCCTTGTGAGGAGGTCCCGATCGCCCGACCTGGCCATGAATGTTACCTTAGAAACAAGTCAGGCAGGTGGCCTGAACCCAGACGCAGAGGCCCCACTGGGAGGCGGGGTGAAGGGGGGCGGGGTGTGGACACCTCTCCCTGGATCTCTGGAGAGATGTAAGGCACCAGCCCTCGCCCCGGGCCAGGGGAGTCTGCTCCCTGCAGAGCAGCCTGCCTCCTTGGGCAACACGCAGCGACCCTCCAGGAGATGATGGGCCTGCCCACCAGCACACCCCCAACCCAGGGACCCCTTCCTGCCCCGGAAGTATCTAGCCTCATTAGGAAAGGGGGTGACCTACATTAGGAGGCTCAGAGAGCAGCTGCAGCAGCAGGCGCGGGCCAGCGGCTGGAATAAATTAACACAGTCTGGGAGGGAAGTCCCCACCCAGGGTGGAGAATGGGGAGCAGAAAAAGAGTCAGGGAGCGAGGGGGTCCTGATCTCAGTCTCAGGCCTGTGGTTACAGGGCCTGCTCTCAATCTTCGTGGGCCTTTCGGTCCCAGGGTCAGAGACTCCACAGTGGCCGTGCCTCAGAGGGGTCCCTGGCCGCCTTCTCTGAGAGACCAGGGGTGGACAGTGGAACCTTGGAGCCAAAAGCAGTCAGATTCTTGAGGAACACTTCGCCCCTCGGAACCCCAAACATGGGCTGTGCTCTAGCTCCCTGCTATTCAAAGTGAGCTCCATGGCCTAGCAGCTTGGGCCTTACCTGACAACTTCTTAAAAACTCAGAACCGGCCCTCCCTGGTGGCGCAGCGGGTTAAAGCGCAGCACTAAGAAGCTGAAGCCACTTCAGCATGAGTTCGATCCCTGCCCTGGAAGGTGACCCACATGGCGCGTCAGGCCTCTCCTGATCCGCCTGCTGCTCCCCTCAGCACTGTGCTTTGTCCATCTGCCTGTTCTGCTCCCCACTCTGTTTCTAGTGAATCCTCTCACCGCCCCTGCACCTCTGGCCTGCACCCCAGTTCTGTGCATAAATAAAAATAAATCTTTAAAAAAAAAACAAACTCAGAACCCTCAAGTGACCGCCAGAATCTGTGCTTTAACTCACATGCACGTTCAAGTTGTGAAGCCCTGGCCTAGATCACCTCTCTCCCAGAAGAGCTGGCTTCTCCCAACAGGGACAGACGCCCCCAGGAGACCATGCTGGTCTGTCTCTGGATGCCAGGCCCCTGCCAGGTTGTGACAGAGCCTGAGGACAGTAGCCCCCCACTTCGAGAAGCCTCTGTGGGGGAGAAACGACACCCATGGCCCAGACATCTGTATGGTAGTCCTCTTAGTCCTCCTAACAACTTTCCAAGGATGATGGAATTAGGAACACCATTTTGCAGATGGGGGAAACTGAGGCACAGAACTCCAGTAAGTTACCTCAGGTTAGGCCGCGTGGCCATGCTGCTTGTGTCCCAGCAGTCTGGTGGCACAGCTACTCACTCAGTGGCCTCTAAGGCTATGGACCATGGGCTGCCTTGCAGAGGTGACTGACTGGTTGAGGGAGGAAGAGGCAGCAAAAGGCAGCTTCAGCCCCACTTTCTATGGCACTTAACAGTTTAGAGATCAGCCAGGGCCCCTTCCCCGCCTCCTGTCTTTCCAATAACCTCACAGATGCCCTGAGGAGAAGTTCCTGAGGCCAGATCTTAGCAGAGAAGCAGAGGGGGCTTTCTAGAAGCCTTAGTGGGGAGGGCAGGGAGCTGGGTGCTGAGGTGAGAAGGGTAGGCTGGGAGCTCCGGGGAAGCCGGGGGTGGGGAGGTAGTGAGGGAACAGGAGGCAAGCGGGAGGAGCAGAAGGTTCCACGTGCTCCTGCCGAGCTGAGTGGGTGCAGCATCCCCTGGAGACTTGGGGGGTGAGAGCTGCTTTCCGCTGGAGCGCCCGCCTCGGCGCCCCCAGGAGCAGCCTGTGGGGCGCCCGTCCCCTCAAGTGGCCCTCGACCCTGGCCCCTCATACTCTGCCCCTTCCATTCTCCAGAGAGGTCAGTCCTGCGGGCAGAGTTGGTGCAGCCCACGCAAGCCTGGCACTGAGGTTCTGTGGTGTTCACCCTCCCGAGTCACGGCCACGCCACACAGCCAGTGAGCACCCACGATGCCTCCACCGAGGGGTGCCTGACTCCTGGGACGTTGTATTCGC